AGCAAAAAACAGCTGTTTTTTGCTCATTTCTACCCTCCCCAGTCTCCAGGAACACTCTGAAAGCCTCCTAAGGCTATGCACGGTCATTTTGGTGAAGTGGTGGGGTTTTGAGAGACAAAAAATGCTGTATTCAGTGTATAAGATGCACCCAGATTTTCAGCCTCTTTTTTGAGGGGAAAAAGGTGCATCTTATACTCTGAAAAATACAGTAAGACTTCCATGAAGAGAGAAGTTCTTAACTATAATCCTAAACTTAATCTACTTTTTAATTTCAAATGAATGGAGCATATTACGTTAAGAATTTTGTGAGAATGAATACTCCAAAGAATGGTGGAAATGAAGGAAAAATGAAAAGTAATAATAAGCAGGATTATTTTGTGTGTCTCTCCTTTGATATTTGCTTCTCATATTGTCTATTCTTTTTTTAAAAAAAAGAGCTTTGTGTGAATATTCCTTTTTCTTTAGTAGTTTGTATCCTACTATTGACCAACCTATTATAGATATATAATATTTTGCTCAACATATATGGAGATATATCCCAGTTTCAACAGAATATATTTTAAACCTTTTCATGTTGATAATATTTTACACAACTCTTTAAAATGTTTACAAAAATTAAATAAAAATAATAATTTTATAAAAATAATAATAATGAACTGTAATATACAATAATGTTTATTTGGTCAATGACCAGCAACATTTAAATACAGAAAAGCAAATGTTTGAGTAAAGCAAATGAATGAATAACAACAATATGTAGAATTCCTTATAATAAAAGTGTAACTTATGGTATTATAATGGCATGTTAATGAATTGTGTATTTATTATTTCCTTCGGAACTTGCATTGGAGATAAAGAGCACAAGAAGATTACATTTTCTGCTATCTATTTTAATACTTCTTTTCCCCCCAGCACAGATTTATATTCACTAAATCTGGAGAAAGATGGATGTGATATTAGGCTTTAAACCACAGGAGATAGGTGTGCCATGAATTTATTCACAAATAGAATGACATGTTTTGATATACAACAATCCATGAAGGGCTGTACTTTCTGCATTCCTGTCACTAAAACTGAGTTTGAAGAATGGATTTTGGTAATAAAGTAGTCAAATTCTATTATTGCTGAAACTTAAGCAGCTACAATAGAATACATGCAAAGCTAAGCATAAACAACCACAGGTATAGATTTCAATTCTCTAAAGAAGAATATCAAATGTTAAGGAATGCAGTTGCAAAGAGGAACAAATAGTCATCATTCCACTTGGAATGAGAAGGTAACAATATATATGCATAAAACAAAATAAAAACTTTAAATCTCAGAAACGTTATCCGTGAATAAAAGCTGGGCCCATATTATATCAATAAATCACATACAATATATCTATTATTCTAATGGAACATGCTATCACACAACTTTCATTGGAAAAAATACATGTATTTAATGCATGCATGTTAAAGATATAACTTATTTACTTACATCTGAATTAAATCTCAATTGGCATATGTTGCAAGATATGATTTGCTTTCTTCTGTGAGGAAGAGGAACCCCAAATGTATGATTTATTACAGCTTTTTGAATTGGATCCATCTGCAATAAGAAGGGGAAAAAGTTGTTTTCTAAACATTAAGCTATTGTGGTGAACAAGATTAAATTAAATTTGTGCACTTCCCAAATATGGGGCCTATACTTTTTGTATATGTTTATACAAAGATAGGTATGTATATGTCTATGCATATGTTTTTATACCTGTGTTTGAATGTACTGATAAAGAGTGAAAAGGGAAGAATAAAGGAAGAAAGAGAATATGAATCAAGAAGAAAAGAATAACTGAGGCAATTGAAGTTAGATGGAATTGAGATCCTCACAGAACATTAAAGATTAAGAACAAAAGATGAGGGAAAAGATAATTTATAACTACAGAAAGGTACAAACTGGTATAGTAAGTGATCCTTGGTGTGAATTAGTTCTAGATTTAGTTTGATTTGCTTATCTTGTCTTTAACTCCTTTCTTTTTTCAGTCCTTTGTATAATTGCAGGTACATACATCACATCAGATCCTATAGATACTGTATATGTTGGGTAAACTATCTTAACTTTTACCTAAGAAATAAATGGATGAGAATCTATTCCTGGAAGAAAACTCTAAGAAAAACAGTAACATTGTAATATAACTCGAACACTCTCACTTGTCTACCATGATTTCATTAAATGTTGCAATTAATGGAGTTATATGGGGAGGGGGGGAATTCTTTCTAAATCAAAGTGCATTTGTCAAAGTAGAAATGTCTACATCCAAATCCCCTTTTCGTGATCACTTTAGTTAACACACAGATCTGTTTGCATTAAGACCCAAATACCAATCATGAAAATTATATGTAAAAGAAACAGTTTATTATCCATGTGGAGAAATGATGGTTTTTTTTTCTTCCATCATAATCATGTAAGTTCTGTACTTATCCATTTTTTTCTTAGAAAAATTAGGTGAATTCATTATTCGGATTATTCTGATTACATAAAAATTGGTATCTCCTAGAAGTTTGGATCTTAGGATGCCTCAGTTTTAGTTCCATAATAATTAATGACTACAATATGGTGGCTTATTTATAGTGAATGACTTCAAACTTCCTTCATCTTTCTCAATGTTTATTTTATAGAGTGGAAGCAGCCTAACTTTTGTCTTTCATATTGCTCTTATTTACAAACTATACTTGACAGTTGGCAGTCATTGGAACCATTGGATATCTAAAAATATATATCCTAACTTTCATCTATTGAATAGATATCAGCTGCCAAACTAAACAACAACAACAGGAGAAGCAGGATGAAAGCTTGAAATTAAATATCCAGGAAAACTAGAATATAAAAAGAAGACATGAGAAAATTTTGCCTTCAAAGAAAAAATCCTGCTGCAAAAAATAAATAAATAATATGACATGAATGATATGGTCAGACAAGCATGCAGTTTCCTCAAGTTCTTTGGTTTCTGTTAATTTTGACTGGATCCCATAGCACTCTTTGCAGGAAAAAAAGGTCATAGAAGGACTCTAATTGCATAGAAAAAAATATCTAAAGTATCAGAGAGCTTTTGGTATTTAACATACAAAGCCTTATCAAGAAAAAACAAAATAGAACAATCAAGACTTTTCACCTACAGAATGAGCTTTAAAAAATGTTATGAGATCTTTTTCTCTCAGCTTTCCTGTAGTCAGACTGCTACAGACTAATTCGTTTAGATAGGAAGGAATATCTAATTTTTCCTCTTGACTTACAGAGTGATGAAGATATGCTGTGAATGCTGATTTACAATTAGGAATCACACTTAAGAAAAGAGGAAATTGGCCTTAGGAAATTAACTAAGTGATGGATTAAAAAAAAGATGCTATATGGTTGATTTCAAAGTAGAGGATGAACTTCTCTGATTTGCAGGTTGCCTTAATGGCAACTAAGAATATAATAGGATAGGTTCAATCAATCAGATTAGAGCTGGAAGGACCTTATATGGCTTCTAGTTAAACAAGCAAACAAGAACAATAGTCCTAGTGATTCTACTTGTGGTGAAGCCAATGACTCCAATCTAATTAAGAAATATACAGAAGCCCTTGGATGCCTTGCTTGTACCCACTAACAATCTTTCAATTCTTAAATCCACCCATCCAGCACTAAGAAGAGGTATGGCATTAAGATTCAACAGTAGAGAGCATAATTTCATAGATTGGAGAGACAAACAAACAGTAAATGATGAGGAGTAAACTGCCAGCTCTTTTGTGTTTATTTTATTGTGCTATGCTTAGAATTCTGGATTATACCACAATTCCACTTCTGGGCTCTACCTCACCATTTCTTTTGTCCCATGCCTGGATTTATCACTTAAATGTTAATTGCATACTAGACACACTCGAAGACTGTGTCTACATTAATAGCTGGTCTCTTAGGATAAGATGATTTTTCTTCTTCTAAATGTTCTGCCAGAGCTTGCATATCACCAGATTGTTGCAGGCATTCAGCTTACTATCTTATTTGTTGGTACAGAAAGTGCTGGTTAAAAAACAACAACAACCTTATTCCAAAAAGGGAGCGGAGTAGTATCAGTAGCAGTAGCAGTAGACTTATATACCGCTTCATAGGCCTTTCAGGCCTCTCTAAGCAGTTTACAGAGAGTCAGCATATTGTCCCCAACAATCTGGGTCCTCATTTTACCCACCTTGGAAGGATGGAAGGCTGAGTCAACCCTGAGCCGGTGAGATTTGAACCGCTGAACTGCTGATCTAGCAGTAGCCTGCAGTGCTGCATTTAACCACTGCGCCACTGAGCGGAGGAAGGGAGGAAGGACTATGAAAAAGTTAAAAGCATGAAAGGGTACATTTTCTGAATCCATTGAAATCTAGAAGTAGCCATTTAAAATGTGGTTTAAAAATCACTTTTCGTACTAAACTATATGCCATACTATAAGGAGGTGGTGGTTCAGTGGCTAAGACGCTGAGCTTGTCAATGAGAAAGGTCAGCAGTTCAGTGGTATGAATCCCTAGCACCACATAATGGAGTGAGCTCACTCCATTATGTGGTGCTAGGGATTCATACCACTATTTTTTCCTGCCAATTCGCCAAAACCGGCAGGGAAAAAATGCTTTAAAAAGGGGTTGGGGGGGGGCTTAGCCGTATGATCCTCAGAAGTGTTTTTTTTACTACCAATTCACAAAACCAACGACAATTGTCCGCACCGGGTCGGCCAAACTAAACTCTATGCCAGCTATTGATACCCTGTGAAGATAGGTGACTATGATGTACCCAAAATACCTTTGGGACAACTGTGACCTGAATAACTGAGAATCTCCATAGACATTTAGGTAACTGCAATGAAAGGAGATTGGATACTTGGCTCAGTTTGTGGAAAAAAACTGTATAAATCCAGGGTTTGCTGGATGTACTTTTATTGCTCACAATTCCAGCATATATGATGGATACAGAGATCATAGATAGATCGTCGATGAAATGATGCAAGTTAAACTGTTGACTTGGAGGAGTAAACTACTCATTTCTGAGGGCAGCAAAAGGGTATATTTTCCCATTTCTTCAGTATAACAATTGAACCCTGGACATCCCCTAATGACAGGTTTTTTTATTTTGAAACCATGGTATCTGATGAGAGACAGAATTTTTCTGATGTATGCTGCTAAGGCAAGAATGGTATTTAAACTGAAATGGTCTTTAACTTACTACTGCAGACAAAATGTAGAGTTATTGGAGGGAGGGGTTATATTCATCATGAAACAAATCGAAATGATAGAGCAAGAGTTTCTCACAGGAACATAAGGAGACATTGCTGAAAAGACTGAGATTTTATATACTGACTCTTTGCAAAATGTTATGTTTATATTTGTCTGCATGGCTTAGTAACATTTAACGTATTTTAAGAATATTACAATTGCATAACTGCCTTTACACAGCCACTAGCCATAGAAAAAATATTCTATACAACAAACTGATGTCTATAATTTACATTGAATTATTCATCATGCATGGGATGTGCTAAGCATGTAGGTAATGGTTTTGGGTTGGCTCTTCTATAATCAACAGCACCCAAATGGCCTTTGGATTTAACAGGTGCTTTTCTTTATGACTGCCCCATCTTCAGTAAGTACACTTAGTGAATCCAAAATACTGCTGTTTGTCCTCAAATTTTGCTAAATTATTTGCATATGACAAAGATGATAGTTTCTTCTTCACCAATAGAAATCAGTTGAAATCATAATTTTGTAGCAGAGACATGTAGCATTCATGTCTACTGTCAAAAGGAGAATCTACTGGGTTCAAGGGAATTGGGAGATTTTGATTACAACCTGCTTCAAAGACGTATGAGTTTCAGCATAACCTAGATTTTTTTAGGTCCTATTATAATTCATATGCAGATGCCTGGAACTTCTTATGTTGAATCAATATGAAGTATTTATTGAGGAACCTTTATTTCACACTCTTATCAATATCCTACCAAATAAATGCATAGTAACATTTTAATTTTCATTCATTTATTTTATTACATCTTATGCACAGTTGGAATTGTACAAGTTCCTAGAGAGTTTGGGTAAGATGCATGAGATGTCTATATCATGACACTGATAAAATCATACTTAACAGCAAGGAAGGAGCATGGACACAGCCCTTAGGTAATTGTTTAAGCCAACTAATATGCAAGATGCCACCCAAACACTGTTAATTTGTTTTAACATGAACCAAAATTGATGGGTACACTTTATTGAATGGGGAGGTAATGGTAAAGGTAAAGGAAATGATCCTGAACAGCACTAATTATCTAAAATTAACTTTGGAAATATTTGTCTAAAGAGGACAGACAGAAATGATAGTGGTAGAGCAGCCTAACATTTTCAGGATTAAGAAGCAGTGGGTGCTAAAATCCCAGGGACAAAGAAAACTCTAAAGATGGTGTAGAAGAAAAGGGAGTTAAAGGATGAAGATTAGTATATGATACCTTAACTGTAATTAATCATGTTTTATATAATTTATGCTGTAATTAAATGTGAGGTATATAATTCATAACTTGAAAAATACTCAATTCCTGCATCCATTTCCAT